ATGTGTTCGCTCACTACACACACACTCCAAGTGTGAGTGAAACCACAGTTGATCCACAGTTAAACACAGGCATTAGCTCATGGTCCACAGTAACTGCTCTGAAAGCCCTGACTGGCCAAGGCCCTGTCAGAATCTCTCCACCACTTGGTAGCTCAACCTATCATTAAAGAACTGTTACAACAGCACTCAGGGGCTTCCTTTATGTCTCCCATGAGAAACACACTTCATGCAAAGGAATTCATTATAATATTTTCCTTTAAGCAAAGAAGGAGGAAAAACTGTGATGAGGTCAGTATTGGTCAGTATTTATTTTTTTTTAAAGCCTCCTACAGAGCGAGAGTGAGAGAGTGAGAGAGTGAGAGAGAGAGAGAGAGAGAAACTGTAATACAAAGATGCTCTGTTTTTCATCTCAGTTTAATTAAAAGATTTGTGTCAGTAAATCTGACCTTGTTCCAAATCAATCACAGAATGTTATTCCCATTGATCCAGCTTGTCAGTCAGCAGCTAGAAAAATTACTGCGCTTTTTTGAGAAAGTGTTTGTCAGTGAGGAAAGAGAGATGAAAGCTGTGTATAGTGGGAAAGGCTTCACTGAAGAGCCTTTATCATACCTCTATTACAACAAACCATTATAGTTGTATTTGTGCATTTCATTAATTATGTCATCTAATACCATCTACTAATTACCGTTAACTGACAAACCTAAAAACACAGACATGACACAAGAGAACATCAAACACAGCACTGTTTTATTTAAACAAGGCTTTACACTCATATATGGCTTGACTGGAGCTAGCTTGAAGTTTATATGCATAGTTTAAACATCAGCATGAAGTCGGTAGCTCACATCTCTTAAGCTATTTTGTCATGGGACTAACTACATAAGCTAACCATAAGCCAACAAACACATCTGCATACTAATCGGAATTGGCCATCAGTGCACACCAGTCTAGGAGTTGTGTGCAAAAAGATTCTGGTGCCCTTGGTGAAATTACATGTTTTGTTGATTTTCTGAAGTCTTCTGTACATTAAATAAAAAGATTGTGCACTAAAATTTCATATTTTAGTTTGGTCAAGTTTATATCCACAAAACATGTAATTTCACTGGTGTTTAAAATTTGCATATGACTGTATGTAAACATTTTCATTGCAAAACAGGCCAAGCACTGTACTTCCATGAAGTCACAATCTCACTACAAAATAAAGCAAATAGTGAGTGTTTATCTTGGCACAAACAAAGAGAGTTCATTTCATTCTCTTTAAACTTAAGCTACAGTATTATATAACATCGTATCAGTGACCGGAAATGTGAAAATAGTTTGGCAGCTTTGTGAAAACCAATTCACATCTCTTCATCTCTTCACAAGTCTTGTGATCATAAACTCTGAAGACATGAGAGGGAACTCTGTGAAAGCACAAGAGAGATGATATAAACTGACAGCCTGATTAATATTTTTAAACTGACCTGGTTGTGAACTGATGCTGAGGGCAGCTGAACTGCGGGCAGTTTCCTGGATATTTGCAGATTTTATTAAAAGCCTCAAAATGCCTGTCCGGGTGAGGTAACTGACAGAGACAAGAATGAATTGTCTAGATCAATCTCTGTGGTCTTACCAGATCATGTATGGGCACGCATGTATTTGTCATCTTCCAGCAAAGTGACAGGAGTGGTAATGCTGGTCTCAGACAAACCACTTTACCTTTATCCATCCATCTTTCTCTCTCTCTTTTCATTTGGTCCAGGAATAAGCCTTTCTAAATCTCTGACCATCAGTAGTAATGTTTCCAAATTCCTTTTGTTCTTAACACTGACTGGATGGAGCCTTAATGTATCCATGCTGGCTGTACTCCCAGAATTACAGAGTTGTTGAAAAGCAAAAGTACTGAATGCTCCCAGCGTTTCTCTCTGGAGGATTCTGAACACAGCCTGGGGTCAGCTCAGTCAGCCTTCTGTCCAGTGAGAACAACAAAATAACTGCTGATCCTGGTTCAAAGCTTAGAAACTGTTCAACACAAGATCTGCTAATTCTCAAGCTCAAGGTTACAAAGTATGCTGTTTAATGAAGAAATCTTTGGAGCAATCCCACAGAAGAACCAGTTGTAGTTTCCAAATGGACCTTTCAATGGATAGCTCTTTAAAGAACCTTTTTTATAAATTTATATAAAGGCAAGGCTTATTGCAGGAAATTTTAAAATAGTGTTTCGCCCACCTCTACTTACTGGAGTACAGTGTTTATTAAAGGTGATTTTAATAAAGTATTTTCTATTTTTAGTCAAAACTATTGTCACTTTCCAAAACTAGGCATCTGGGCGCATCCTATCGGAGTTAAAGGGTTATCATGGAAAAGTGATAAAGGTGACAACATTCCCATCTCCCCTTCCAGTTAAAAGCCTGTATCCTATACTTTTCTTGCATTTTCCCTGGGGTCAACTTCTGACTTATCTGGTTTTATGTGCCAAAAATGGGCATAATTATTATATATAATACATATTAAGCTCCTCCCATCTCCCCTTCCAGTTAAAGGCCTGTATTCTACTTTTTCATTGAGGTCAACTTTCAAACTTTGTGTGGTTTTATGTGCCAAAAAAGGCCATAAATATTTTGTACATGACTATTTACCAATCTCTTTAATATGAGTGGGCGGAGCTAAACCGCTGTAGGCTAAATAGGTGGATATATGCAAATGAGTTGGTTCTCATGACATCACAGAAGCAATTAATTCAAACAAGCTGTTTTTACACTATAGATTCCATATATGGACTGAGCAGTGAATGTCACATTTTTAAACTACTCTTTACATTCGCGTATGGAGTATGGAGCGCTATGCTGAGAGAGAAGTAGCTTTCCATGGGTTAGAGAAATGCTGCACATCAACACTCTGTATCTATCAGCAGCTTTCCTTTAAAATCCCCAAGAGCAGGGTCTTCATGTTATCCTTCCTCAGGAGCCCATCATTCACCTCCATTCATGTGCCCATGTTCTGTTTTCCTAAAAATAAGCTCCTTAAAGCTTAGGGAAACAATTCAGAGTTGACACACCTATATCTGAGAGCCATGCTAATATGATCTTGCATAATATATTCTTTTTGCAACCTAACAATATTTATATGGCATTAAATGCTTTGATAGTCTAATTCAGACATCTGAAGCAAACGTTAGATTTACATTGACTGCGTAACTACCAGCTGTATGGATTTTATTTGTCCAAGAGTGAGAAATCACACGTTGGATCTCAGACTGATCGCTGTATGATTGGGTTGCAAATGTTGGTAATGACTTCTGCACTTTTTATCAAAGTGCCACAAAATCTGAGTCAGCCTAAACTGCTGGCAGCATCAGACTTTCCATTCTGTCTCTGTGATGTTAAAGCCTGAAGCTGAAGATAGGAGGTGCCATCTGCAAACACTCTCTGACATGGCAGGCACCCAGATCAGGCCCACGCCAGGACACCCATACAAACAATTTCAGTTGACGTCATTAAAAACAGTCCACATCACCTAGCAACTGGGCTCCACTAGACTTAACTGGTGGCTGTTCACTGTTAAACAAAAATGTCAAGACTTAATTGATCTGTAACACAGCTCACTACACAGCACACTATTAGGGATGCACAATGTATCAATAGCCAATACATATGTATCTTTTGGAAATGGGAAATTTGAGTAATTCATCACATTATATATGTTAAGTGAGAAAACGCAAATATTATTTTTTTAATATTGGAACTACAGCTGACAAATTGGCACACCATTTGTTCATGCACATGCACGAGGGTTACTATAGTTTTATACAGAATTTTTTATAGTATAATTTTATTTAGGTTTTCAATTTCAGTTTAGTTTCAGGTACTTTTGAAGTTTTAACTTCCATATGTGATATAGATATTAATGCCTACGTAAAATTAAATACTGATCCACTCTTGAGTTGTTATGCTGACTGCCCTGCATATGTATTGTGGTGTGAACTTGTTTTAAAATGCAAAAATAGTACATTCATGAGTTACTGGAATTTTATCGGCCACAACTGTTATGGCTGTCGGACCAGAAATTCCATTTGGGCACATCCCTGGTTCTTATGGATGTCCTAGGGATATGTCAGCCAATCAGTTTACTGGCCTTATACAAACAGAAATTAAGGAGAACCTTGCTGTAAAAGTGATCCCAAGGTAACTTCAATTGCCAATTGTAATCTCCGTATCGCCTCTAGCTTCAAAGAATATGGCTCAAGTTCACCATCTTCAGCCAAGATAAGGGCTCATTGGACTGCAGGCAATCCCATAATCCCCTCAAACAAAATAATCTTCCACCAGCCACACTCCCCACCCTGTCCTGATAGTTACAAAGGAACACGCTGGCATGCCAGATCGATTTGTCAGCTGAAATCTAATCTGTCACTGGAGACTAAGAGTTGTCATGGCAGTATTTTAAACAGGAGCAGCCTGGCTCAGGTGCTAATGAGCTCACTGGCATCTCTGTGATTCAACAAAGATATTAATGTGACACATCTATGGCCTGGATCAGTGCAGAGTGGGTTAGTTTGGTTAAGCAAGCCTTGTGCAGGCAGATAATGGTGGAAAACAGTTCAGTGTATCATATAAAGAACTGGAAAATATAATCAAAGATAAATCAAATAACTTCAAGGAATGTCAAGTATTGTGCCAGATAGAGGTATATCTATTGGGCGTGAATTGAAACAGCAGATTTTACATGGTGACATGGTTGGATTTTAACTGGCGACAAGGTGCCCAAAGAGTCATTTAATAGTAGAGCTTTTATTGATAAACAATAGCATGGAAAGAGATACACATATGGCAGTTTTCCCATCTCTCAAATCTGAGCTCTTTGCCTTGAGCTGTGTGTACTGCTATTACAAAGCAAATATTTGTTTGCCAGTTAAAGAATTGTGACTCTCCTTCCTCCCCTTTTCTACTATTTAATCCTTCTCCCTCCCCTATATGTTTAAAAGCAGCTCCCAGCCTGGTCAGGTGTGTGTTGGTGTTACCATGGAGCTCCCTGCAGTTGTCTTGATGATCTTACTCCTCGCATGTGGGCTTTTCCCTTCAATGGAAGGTAGCGGTGGAGTGCTGGAGTTTGACAGCAGCGATGAAGGCCCTGAGTCTGGGTTCCTTTCTGCCTCACGCACCCGTCGGGCCTCCGAGGCCCCTCCTCAGGACAAGTGCTCCTACACATTCATCGTTCCCCAACAGAAGGTCACGGGGGCCATCTGTGTCAACTCAAAGGAGCCTGAGGCAGTTCTGGAGAATCGCGTGAACAAGCAGGAGCTGGAACTTCTCAATGCTGAGCTCCATAAGCAAAAGAGGCAGATTGAGACTCTGCAGCAGCTTGTAGAAGTCGATGGTGGCATTGTCAATGAGGTGAAACTCTTGCGCAAAGAGTCGCGCAACATGAACTCTCGTGTCACTCAACTCTACATGCAGCTATTGCATGAGATCATCCGTAAACGCGACAATGCGCTGGAGCTGTCTCAGCTGGAGAACAAGATTCTTAACCAGACCTCAGAGATGCTGCAGCTCACCAACCGCTACAAGGATCTGGAGCATAAGTATCAGTATTTGGCCTCGCTGGCCAACAACCAGTCAGCCGTCATCGCTCTACTTGAGGCACAGTGTCAGAGGGGACCCCCAGTGGTGGCACCAAGACCACTCCCCCAGCCCCCGCCACAACCTCAGCCTAGACCCTCTCCACCCATCAGCAAGCCATATCAGCCACCTACCTATAGTCGCAACAACCAGATCACCAATGAGATTCAGAGCGATCAAAATCCCAAAGGGCCACCACCTCCACTACCCACAATGCCAAGTGGCACTCACAGCCCTTTCACTACCGACAAGCCCTCAGGTGAGTCTCTGCTCTTAGTTTTATTGGTCTTAAATTATCATTTTTGGGCCCATCCATGAAAAACTGTCTGTAATTATAGATAATGAACAGCAAATGGCATCAGCAAAATAATCTTTACTAATATTTAGCATTAAGATGCCAAAATATCCAGTGACTAAATAAATTATGTACAACACAGTGTATAAGCAATTGGACAGAGACACATCTTTTTGTTCTTTTGGCTTTGTACTCCAGCACACTGAATTTGAAATTAAATAATGATAATAGCATTGAAGTGCAGAAGCTTTAATTCAACGGTATTTAGACACTGCATGAACCATACAGAAATCAAAGAGAACAATATACAAGCATTACTTTGGAAGGTTTTCAGCAAGATGAAAAACACTCAAGAACCTTTAGTCTTTATTCATGTGACTGCAGATAAAAGCAGCCGGATGAGTTCTGAATGTACAGAAGGATTTTACCTGCTCAGATATAACTAATTTTCACTGAGCATGTATTTTACCTAAAGAAGACATGACAAAAGGCAAAAATCTCTTGAAAAAAACGGCAGGAACCGAACACTGCTGCTCTACAGAAATGGCAAAGGGTTGAGGTCACTTAATAAAGGAGGAAATATTCACAAATTAAACTGACACTCTGCATGTTAACTTCAGAGTCACTGTTTCATTTCAGATTTGATATGCTAAAGTACACAGTCAAAACAGCAAAAATTACACTGCTGTCCAATAACTAAATTGTAGATGTTTTATTAGGCCTGTCACAACAGTGAAATTAATGCAGATGGTTAATTGCCACATGAATCTTTTTTTGCTCATTACTTATAAAGCAGGCCAGAATTGGTAGTCTAGCAGGGCCAGACATGATCTTGTGAAGAAAATACATGCCTAAGGACAACTTATTAAACTTTTGGTGCTGGACTGCAGTGAAATCCCCTTTTAATGTCCAGAGAACAACAACAACAGCTAAATTGTTAGTTAATGGAGTTGTTTTTCCCTTGCAAGAGGTAACATTTAGTTTTACCAATTATAACATGTTCTCTGCATACATGACACACTCCCAATGCTTTATTGAAGTTTGGGGCTTTTTCAGCTATGCTAACATATATTACATCCATAGGCTAACGACAGGCTTGCTGTCCATCAGACAACGTTGACAAGCGCACCATCCCCCCGTACTTTGAGCTCTGCTTTAAAGAGGCGTTGAATTGCTTTAGAAATTTCACACTCTGTCTGTAAAAAAGCCTACGTTCCCACCCAATTTAGCCCAAAATTTCGCTTGGTTGTCCCCAGGCATTCTCAGTACAAGATTAAATCTGGAGAGACTATGAAAACAGCTGATTAGCTTTGCTGTTTTCTAGCTGTCAACACTTAGTTGCTCCCAAATGACCACAGACACAGTTTGAACACAAATAAACATTACTCACTGCTGCCCTCTAAACACATCACAGCACCAGTCATGATGGGTCTCAGTAAATGTGTTTTCTGCTTTCTTTCATTTACATGCATTTGCCTCAGTCACATTTTGTTTGCTGTGACCACATACAATTGTGAAAACTGTTGAAAATAATTGCAATCACCTCAAAGAATTGTGATCAGGCAATTACTTAAGAATACCTTTAAGATTGGAGCATAATACTAATTAATACATGGTATTTGGTATGTGGTATACCCTCTTCTAGCTTCTAAAAATCCCCTCCTTAAATGTGCATCTGAATGCATGCTGTGCATTACCCACACAATTGGCTATCATTAATCACCACTCCTCTGCCACTGCCTATTCATTCTTTCCAACACTCTTGATAGAAATACTGTCTCCCACACACCCTCACTGAAAAAAAGAGCTTTAGCCTCACAATAACATGACTGTTGAAGTATTTGCTTTGAAATGGACATCATGTGCTCTGGTCAAGTGATGGGCATCCCAAACAAAGCGTATTCAGAAGCATAGCTCTAGTTTGTGTGGACTCCACTTCGTGGGAGGTTGTATCTAGATTAAAGATGGATGGAAAGCCTTTGTGCTCATTGAGAAGTCAAGCTTTTTGCTTGATAAAAATATAGCTCCATGTCAGCTAAACCTTAAGTAAGTGGATGACCCATCTAAGGGGCTGATTGAGGAATCATTTGAATGACAATTAGCCATAAGTCCTCATGAGGACTGCATGGTTGTGCAAAACAGTGGGAAAGTAAGGGTGTTACAATACGATCAGTAATGCAGATTTTGTCTTTCTAAAGTCTAATTCTAAGGAGTCTGTACTGTTCTTTAACTACATTATAGTATAGAATATGCCACACACCAAACATCTCAAACAACCAATGACCTTTCGATTTTTGTTCATTTACTTTAGCCATACAGCACTATGCAAAAGTCAGAGACCATGCTTCATTCACTGATCTTCTGGTAAAAACAGAAAAGTTATTATTTTTCAGAAAATATTTCTGAGGATTGGACATAATATAATCCACCTGCATAAAGAAGGGGAAAGGAAAAGGAAAAGAAAAGGAAATATCAAGAGTTTGACTGGAGATCAAAAAATGATTAAAAGACTAATTGCAAATGGGATTCCTAAAACCATGCAAAATCTGGCAGACCACCAAAACTGTTACCTGATAAGTAGTACTTTCATCTTTGAAAAACAGGAGAAATGCAAGCTCCAAACTTGCTTTAGATCTGAAAACTTTACAAGTGTTTGATAAAATGATTGAAATATATAAGGATGAAGCACTGAAAGTTGAAAGTTCTAACATTCTGCCGACCACTCATTACAAGCCCAAGTGTAAAAGAGCATAAATGCCAATGTGGATTTGTGTACCTCAGTAGCATTCAAAAGCTGTCACCACATAGTTCTCTATACTTCTGCTCACCAATGTGCGATAACATGGACGAAGTAGCCGCCTGTCCTATCACGCGCGGATGTTTCCTTTCAGTACAGCACACTGTTGTAGTGTAGTGCTACTGTCCATTGGAAAAGCAGTCCCAAGCCACACGCTTTTTAGTAGGCCTATGTAGTAAAACCAATTGCACCTTCATTGTAAAATTCAAAAACCTTCCTTAACTTAAATGATAAACCCACCTACTGTAATAGGAACTATTGTTTACTGACATTTTTTTAACCAATCAAATTGACATTTTTTTAACCAATAGCATTGGTTGAACAGCAACAATTGTTTATTTGTCAGTTAACAGATATTTCAGTTATTTTAATTTCAATCTATAGTTTTCTTTCCAACACTACAGTGGTGCTGATAGTCCTGGACTTTTTACCTCCCCCATTGCTAGAACAACTAAACAATAGAAAGAAAATGGAGTAGGTTTTCCTTCGTCTCTCTGGGTAGCTAATACTTATAGGTCTGCAAATTTGGCAATGACTGCTGGACGCTGTGTACCACAGGCGGCAATAAACAGTGAGCAGAGTAATTTCCTGGCCAGGTCCACCTGCGTCTGACACCCAAAGGTTAGAAAAATGTGATTGAATGGCTGAACAATACGAAAGCTCTAACTAAGAGGCTACAGAAAGAGAAAAAGGTGGGGACAGACTGGTTTTTGGCTTGGAGAGACTGAGAAGGAGATGAAGTCAAGATAGGTGTGAAAGAAGTTAAGAAAAATAAGAAGTCAGATGAAGAGTGGAAGAAATTAAGAGACTCTCATAGACATTAAATAGGGGTATAACAATGCTTTGTGGCACTGTGATACTCCAATGCAAAAGTGTGACAATGTACAATAGTGGAGATGTAACAACGCATCATGGAGAACTGACATTCTGTTAATTACTCCATCTAAGGCAACTGTATTGTTTGAACACCAAAATTTCAGCCCCAATCAACAAGTCACTCCAGCACCCCTCCTACCTCCTAGCTCTAGTGTTGTTAATAAGTAATCATTTGTTTCCATTTGAATTTTGTTCAAAATAATTTGAGAATACCGAATTGTGAACTCAAATCAAATCGTGGGCTGAGTATATTGCCGAGTCATACTTGGTTGATTGACAACAGCCACGGGTCAGTCAGACACTTTGATTCAGACACTTAGTTTTATCTGAGGCAATCAAATTCTGAGCATGAGAGAGTGAGAGGCAGTCAAAGACAAACAGCCTGCTGAAAGATTTGTGGATGACTGGATGTCTGATGTTTCGCTCTGCTTCCTTCTGCTCCTGTCTCCCATCTCTCAACCAAAGTTCACTTGATCTGATTCTTATTTTCATCCCCAGTATGTAACCTCCTCTGTTTCTGAGCCCATGCCAGCTTAGCATTACAGGCTTGCTTCTCCAGTGCATTTTCTCTTCCCAATTCTTTCCCCTCTTTGTCACTGAACTTTCACTTTTATTGCTTGTGAAATCCGAACTGTTTTATTTTGTATAAACCTTTTTGCAGCAGACACTGTCCCAAAGTGGCAACAGCAGGAAAACATAAGCAGCTTAACAATGACAAACACATACTCATGTACGCTAGAAGTTAGGTACATATCGGAATAGAACAGACTTTACTGTTTTGTATTTTAAAAAATGCTTGAATCCAGAGCAGTTCACAAAAGCAGGTAAAAGTAATGTTAAGCACCTTGCCCAATAAATCTTAAGCCTGTTTCACACATATTATTAATGTATGATGTGAGTGGCATGGGACATTTTGCATTTCATTTTCACGCCCATGTTAACAGATCAGAGCATTCACAAAGACTGCGCAAGTAGTGTGTCCCAGCAGTGGCACGGAATCTGGAAAGCAGATGTCGAACTTTGAAAACCAATGAAAATGAAACAAGAACACAAGTCTACAAATAAATCCATTATCATATTAGTTTACCATTTCATGCTACAGGTTAAACATTTCATGCTACATAAAATAATTGCCTAATCACAGGCTGCGAGCTGCAGAGCATGATGCAGTGAGATGAGACAACACATTTTTGAGGAATGCCTAGTTTCTATTGTTGATGGCTTGCGTCCCATCACTTTGCAATTCTACCTCAAAACGGATGACTACACATCGATGAAGTAGAGGAAAGGA